TGTATGATAAAAATATTATAACGTGTTAAAAGTTTACATGTATTGAGAAATCTATTTAATATTTTAAAATATAAATTAATATTTCCAAAAAATATGAATATGTTTAGAAACATAATTATTATATTTACAAATACAAATAACTAAATAGCTAATAAGATAACATAATTATAAGAAAACATAAATACTAAATTAAAGATTAAATTTTAAATAAGAAAATTATATTACTCAATTAATATTTTAGTTTTAAGTTATTTTAATTAAACTAAATTATTAAAACAGACTCGCGCGTAGCGCGAGTATAAAATCTAGTCTATATTATAATGATTCAGTTTAAAAGTTCCTTAAAGTGTCCACATAGGCAGAATGTGGGTCTTACATATTTATATTAAAATGGATAGTTGTTTTAAAATGGCTACAAACAAAGAATATCAGTTTAGTCAAGTGGTCTAAGATCTCATGTTTGGTCTCCAAGGACATGGGTTCAATTCTCACTGCTCTCATGCATAAACCAATTAATGTCATCATCATAAAAATATTTTTTAAACACACATAGTCTTGGTAAGATAGTTACAAACAATGAAATACACTTTAGCCAAGTGGTATAAGGTGTCTAATTAAGTATGCAAGATTGTGGGTTCAAACCACGTAGCTATCATGTATTTTTGATTTTTTTTTTATTTAGGTTATTATCATATGGGCTTTTTGTTTATCCTTATGTTTTTTTTGGGCTTATTGTTTTAAAGATCAAAATAGTTGTATAAACCTCAAACCTTAATAAGTTCAAACCCAAAATAGTTAAAAATGAATCCAAAACGAATAATAAAACAAAAAACAAAAAAAAACAAGTCTCACGTGGTTGCCTACGCGGTTAAAAATATCCTATTATAATATAGCTCAACCCAAAAATAATAAAAAATAAATCCAAAAACGAACAAAAAAAAAAACAAAAAAAAGTGAATTCCACGCGGGTGCATACGTTGATGGCTTAATGAGGGTTGAATAATATAGATTAGGAGCTCAAAAAGTTAAATCATTGCACATATTTCCTAATATATTTTTTCAAGAAATTTGTATGTGAGATAAAATAAAATAAAACAACAAAAATTAATTATTTTCCTTATTATTAAATGAATATATAATTTCTCTTACGTTTTAATAACTACTATAATTTCCTTGAAAAGATTCCTCACCACCGATTCCAGACTCCGAGGAATGGATTCCCATAGTCGATGACGCCGTAGATAAAAATGCCACATCATTTATGAACAAAACTCAAACTTACAAAAAACCATATATAAAAGCCTATCTAATGAAACTTAAACAACGAATATTAACTTAATTAAGGTTATTTTCAAATTGATAAATCGTAAAATACAAATATAAATACTATAAATATAGAATTATATCAAGTTTTGATCTACGATATAAAAACTATTTACAGCAAAAAAAAAATACACCTACTTTTACACACTAAAAACTATATTATAGCCTAACTATTCCTATAAACCTTACTTCGCATATAAATAACATATAACACATTCCTAATATTTTTCAAAAAAATTGTATGTGAAATAAAATAAAATAAAATAAACAACAAAATTTAAGTAAGTTATTTATTAAATGAATATGTAATTTCTCTTACATTTTAATAACTACTATAATTTCATTGAAAACATTTCTCACCACCGACTCCAGATTTCGGCGAATGAATTCCCACAGTCGATGACTCTGTAGATAAAAATGCCACATCATTTATGAACAAAACCGAAACTTACAAAAAACCATATATGAAAACCTATCTAATGAAACTTAAACAACGAATATTAACTTAATTAAGGTTATTTTCATATTGATAAATCGTTTAATACAAATATAAATACTATAAATATAGAATTATATCAAGTTTTGACATAATATATAAAAACATGAAATTTTCCATTTCATTATTAATTGGTGTCATTAGAAGAATCCACTAAATCAACAATCGAAAAAAATACACGCAAACATAATGATCCCGGTCCCGCGCTTGCGCGGGGAATATGCAACTAGTTAATGAAAATAGACCGGATGATTGTGGTCGAGTGGTAAGGATGCGGGACTGGGACACCAACATATTTTAGTTTCTACTCATCTGCTGCGTGAAACTAAGTCACAACTATTTCTGATCACGTAACACAGATATAGATCCATGCTTTAGGATCCATTTGAATGCCCAGAAAAATGATCTATCTGTGGGCTACACCTCTCGTTAGAGATTAGTCTGCGTCTCTCCATTGGTCTGTGATACCTCTAGGTTAATCAAAAAAAAAATTAATGGATTAAAAAAATCAAGTTATCAAATATAACACTATTAAAAGGTGCTAATAAAGCGCTCTTAGATATGCCACCTCAGCTGAAATAATCAGCCAATAAAATTATAACAATAATCCATGTCATTTCGATTTAGTTTGCTCAGCTGAGGACTCGGTTTGATTTTCGGTTCGACTTTCTAATCTGATTATTGGTTTATTACAGAGGGGGGGGGAGAAAGGTACATTTTTCTCGTGTTCCTCTTCAATCCCTAATTTCGTGCTTTTCTTACCTTTCGACTTCCACATCTTCTCTTCTGTTGAACTCATTCAAGAAATCATTCAATTGATTCCTTTCACCTTTCTCTCCATTTTTCTATTTATAGATCTCTTTTCTTATTCCGCGATTGTGATGAAACGTCACCGCAAAGCTGCTATTTCATCTGCCACTCCGATGACACCAAACGCTGCTACCGCTCTCTACTCTGTGCATGGCAACCAAGTAATGTTCTTCAGAGATGTTTCTCTCGGCCACAAGAAGCCGAGTTGAGCTTCCGTCTGATTCACTTCTAGGATTTCTCGAACATCGCCGTGGAGATTCATTTAAACCCCTTTTTGACTTATTTGTGTTTTGGGGTGTGAAGGTAATACATGAACGACTCTGATGAAGAATGGGAAGATGTCAGATCTTATAGGGGAGCTTCATGTTAGTATTAGTTAAAGCTTTATTCTTTTTTTCTTGGTTTTGAATTGAGAAGGAAATTGTAAAAAAAAAACCGCTTTGTTGTTTTTTCTTGGTTTGGAATTGAGAAGGGAATTGTAAAAAAAGAAGGATTTTTTTTTTGTTTTTAAAGGCTTTGGTCAAGAGATTTGAGAAGTCTTAAGATCATTCAGATGATGATTCTGATCCCATGGCTACTCAGGTATTGTTTGTTTGTGTGTATTGACGTGAAGAGTGTTGTATGAATTAGAAACTTCAAAGATATTCTCCTTTCTCCCTCGAAGCAAAGATAGTAATTTCTCACATATATTACTTTTATTTTGTTTTAAATGTACGAAAAAATCAGGTATTGTGTTTCATATTTGTATTTTGAGATATCTTCTTGACTATTAGAAATAAATTTCTAATGCATATCAAAAAGCATTGAGTTGAATCGTGTAGGCTGCAAAAATTATTGACATATTTTCTATGAGCATTTTGCTAAAGATTTTTAGTTTTTTTTTTTTTATTCGTGAACATGAGATCAACTTCAACTAAATTAGATATGTTTCCTTATGTGTTTGTGAATCTTTATCGACATGAAAATATCTTCATTGAGTCAAAGAGAAAGAGATAGTCTATTTTTTTTTCAGGAATCCTCAACAGTTATGGAAAAACCATGTTACGCTTCAAACGTCTCATACTACGTAATGATTACAAACCCTCGTAATCTACTCTGTTTTTACATACTCTGTTTTCATCTATGTTATTGTTGCTCTGTTTCAGATGAGGAACAAGATTGAGCTCTGTATTCAAAATTACATGAACTTTGAAAGAACCGCTAAGTATCTTGAAAAGAATCACCAGATTAATAAAAATCTCATCTACAAAGATAAAAACTTAGTAAAATAGGCTACTTTATTTGATTCCATCAATGGATTCTGAATAAAGTTTTGCTTTTTATTCTCTCTTCTTAGTTTGGGAGAAGCTTCGGAAAGATAATCCAGTTTTCTTCGGTTACTTTGACCTTAGATGCCAAATGGTTTTTCAGATGAGGATGTTCAATGATACGCTGACTAAACCGGAGTTGATACTTGAATATTCCCAAATGCGAAGATACCCATGTAGCTGTTTTAACCATATTGTTGCCAGTAGCGATTACAGATTCTGACTGAATTTTCATCCAAGCCTCGAAAGTTGGAAGATGCACACAGCCAGCCAATTCATACTTTGAAAATACATTGGTTCAATAATCATCTACTAGTCCATCACCATTAAAACTTAAACATGGAACAAAAAGATGAGTTAACGAATCAGAAAACAATGCCCTCCATAAAGAGGGAAGTACCTTTTTCTACGGTGAGGATTGAAGGAACGGATCAGAGGTTGAGGCACCAAATAGTTAATGTCTTTTGTCGAGAACCATGAGAGCATTTTTCAATAGTTGTCTTGCCTTCCTATCTGCACTACACCCAGAGGCTTCCATTTCCCTGAATATTTCTGGAACCTGCAGTTCCAATTTCAAAAAATATGCAATTAAAAGGGCTATTTGAGCACTTTAAAGGCAGGAACTACATACCTTTTCATACTTCTTTGCTCGAGTGAATGCTTTCATAAGTGTACTATAGGTAAACACATCCGGGGTGAATCCCTTCACAAGTCAAACTCAGCCAGTTGAGCATATAAGAGAGGTACTACTAGTTGAATGGACGGTAGACGAATGAGGTAAATACATACACTTTCTTTAATATGGTGATAAATAGATAGAGCTTCCATGTGCTTCCCAGCATTTCCAAATGCATTGATCAAAACATTCAACATAATCAAATTTGGTTCAGTCCCCTCATTCTCCATCATCTTTAGCACTTTTACTGTCTGTTTGCATAGTCCCTGCGTATGTATTCTTCGATGATGCCTTGAGTTTCAGGTCATCAAACCAAAACAAACTGAGAACAAGAAAGATAAGGAAAACGAACCTGTTGAGCATATGCATTAGCCAAAGTACAAAACATATTACCTGTAGGAGCGACACCTTCCGACTTGAGCTTACCCACAAGTTCCTCGACGTCCTGGAAACTCCCAAACTGTCCAATAATCTCAACTAAAGCTGCATAGATAGCTCTCGTGTCTCTTCTATCTTGTTTAAATTTTATGGACTCAAAACTTTTACTTATCATGTTCCAGCTCCCTTTCTCTCCCAACCACGTTATAAGTTTCACAAATATCCTAGGGTCAGGATAAAGCCCCTGATCCTGCATCATCGTGAAAAGCTCAAGCGCCTTATCAACCACACCGTGATGACAATGCCACCGTATTAGCGAGTTCCATGTACTAATATTCAGTTTCAAATCATTACAACTCTGCATTTTCCCCAAGACCTGTAAGGCTTCACCTAACTCTCCGTACTTACCAAAGGTATCGATGATGCTGTTGTATATCTCGACATCCATGGGCAAACCAGTCTCACTAATCTCTTCTACAATCCCTAACGCCTTCTTCCACATCCCATTGTCTCTGTAAATACGTATGATCTTCCCATACACAAAAGAATTCAAAGGAAACTTTCTCTTCTTCATCTCATTAACCACACGCCACGATTCCTCCAACCTCCCAGCACTAACGTAATAGTTCAAGAGAATCTCACATGTTTCTTGATTCTTGTCAACGTTTTCGACTTCCATATGATCCAAAACCCTAAGGGCTAACTCCAGCTGGCCTTTTCTCAAGAACCCGGCGAGCAAGGCGTTGTACAGCCTCAGCGGATAGGTTCCATGGAGACCGAATCGAATCACTTCTTGGAAGAGAGCATCAGCCTCGAGAGTCCTTCCGAGAGAAGAGAGAGTTTCGATCAGAGTAACTTAGGAAAGAGGATCGGGATGGGAGCCGAGAGAATCCAATTCAGCGAGCAGAGACATTGCTTCGTCGATCCCGCCTCTTCTGCACCAATACTGTATCCACCAATTGTACATTGAAATCGACAGTTCCTCAGTGACTACTATTTGGCGGTTGGAGTAGCAGCAGCCATAGAGGAGTCTCCTCCGAGAGGATGTGGAACTGAGAGTAGCGGAGAAACTCGTCGGAGATGGAAAAACTGAGACTCTGGGAGTGGGAGATCCGTATGAACAGAGAATCTCGGTACCAATAGACATCATCTTTCGTTTCAGAGTAGAGTAGGCTCTACCATCTACTGCGTGAACGGAAAAAGCAACGTCGATTTGTTGTTCGTCGATCACTGGCAAGAGACGACGACATGCTTTAAGCTAATGGTTTCGGAACGAATGCATCCGACCCTCATATCTTGTCCTTGTATATTCTTTTTCCCTTTCTTTATCTAATGTGTAAACTTATTTAAAACCGATTCCTTTTTTTTATTAAATAAAACTATCAATTTTTTTTAAAGAGTTATTTACATCAATAGCTCTAGTAAAAAATATATTAGCTATTTGGCTATGTACAGTTTTCGTCAAGAAAAGTGGTATTACAATCTCGGTATTTCCCTTCAGATGAAAGAGAGACAGCTGCTGACACTGTCAGTTTAGGTTATTAATAATAAAGTAGCCTGGCCAAAACATTCAAACACACCATTCAAAACTCTATCAAAACTAGATCGTGCGGAAAATTGAGTTTTTATCGATGGTGGAGGGCGAAGTAAATGGTACGGAGGTTCCATCCGATATTGCTAATCCATATATGATTCCAGAGACGATGTTTGCCGCCGGTGAAGAGTCAGTAGGAGTTCTTATGTTAACCTATTAATCTTCAGGAGCGGTAAAGTGGATTTTAAACACTTTAGATGCAGAGGAGATTTTGAAGATCAAGAAATCTCCATTTAGGAAGATTTTGAAAATTACAGAAAACAAGTTTTTCTGGAAGACTTGCAAGACATATCATGTCTCGACAATTGAAAGTCAAGAAAAAGTATGAAATGTGGTTCGGATTTGCAAGAAGATCGATTAGATTTTCACTTCAAGAGTTCGCAATTGTAATTAGACTCAACTGCGGCAATTATCTCCCAAAATCAAAATTAAAAAGGAAAGCTACCAAATTGGAGAAGCCGTATTGGCCATAGCTGTTTGGGAAGATTGATGTTGTTACTATTCCAGGTCTGGTAAAGATGCTTCGAAAGAAGACTGTAAGAGATAAAGAGATTCAAATAAAGTTTGCATGCCTAGCAATATTATCATCGGTTCTACTTCCAAAAAATCTTAAGATGAAAATTGCAAGAGAATATGCAGAAGCAATAGCAGATATTGATGAATTTTTCTCCTACCCGTGGAGTAGAATGGCTTTCAAGATGTTAATGGGGAGCATTAAGGAACGAAACGAGGTGACCCTGTCTCAAAACATAATCGCATTGAAAGGTTTCGTCCTAGCGTTACAACTTGTAATGGTTGAAGCTGTGACATCGCTCACAGATGTAGTCTAGGAAATATGTAGTTCTTCCGAATCTTCAAGTGATGAAGACGGTGAAGGCAACACATGTACATTAACACGAAAAAAGACGCTAAGCCTAAGCCACAGCTGGAACATAGACAAAGCAAAACGAGGTGATGTATTAAGTGACTATGGGTCTGTTGATACCAATTATTACTTTTGTTAGGAGCTTAACATTCTAGAAACGCCTACTGGTGTATGTGATATGCATATTGCATCTGGATCCTCTCTGTCCAATAGATGAATCCAGTTTACATTGGTCAGATGAAGTAACAGATGAATAAGTAGATAACATCGTGAAGCTTATCAACGCTAATTGTTCAAAGGGGGTGTTGCTAAGGAAGATGTCGAGCAGCTGAGAGAAGCAGGAAGGATCGGGCTAAACAGAGGAAAGTAAAAATTACTGCAACTACCAAATCTAATTTGAGTGAGCAAGATAAAACAAAAAATGATTCTTGACGATTTAAAACATGGAGTTGGATGAATATAAGCTAAACTAACATCCATAATGACTATGGTGGGCCAGTTAGACTCAAGGGTTGGAGCCATGGAAGGGACATTGGCGAGTACGTATGATTCAATTTTCGGAAAATTAAAGGAATACGTGAAGAACTGCTTAGCATCTGCGAGTAAAAGTTGTGGAAGTAAAACCGGCGATGAGCAGGAAATGAATCATGTTACCCCAAGTAGAGGTGGGCTGGGTGATACATGACAAAGGTCAATCGATGATGAGTACAGTTAGATCATTCGTAATGTACTAGGCAATCTAAGTCAATATTCCACACCACCAAGAGCAGGAACTGAACGAAAGGTACGTCTTCAGTTGCATAAGAAGCAAATAGATTATTTTTAATTTGTAAATTTTAGTTACCTGAATTATGTATAGATTTGGATTAATAAGGATGTACATTAACTCCACGTAATTTCGGCGATTCACAATCAAGCCACCCCCCTGTTGTTTAGGCTGGGACACGTGGTGAACAATCAGTGAAAAGTGGTACACGAAGAATACAAGCTCAAGGGGAGGAAGCAAAGGTATGGGATCAATACAAAGGTTTCAAACCGGTTCTCTAATTTGTTATCCAGATTCATGTTGTGTTGCCGGTTTTTTTGCATTGCATAAACGAAGGCATGTTCGATCACGCCGGGGATTCATCTGGATTTACCAAAGAACAATACACAAATCGCTGAATCTAGAAGAAATTTATCCTTGTCAGCTCAAATGCCTTCACGTACATGCGATAAACCGGCTAAGGTGTCTACTCTTCCTTCACCGATTTACTATGAAATACCTGTTACACATCTACTAACAAAATGATTGATAATCAATTATTTTAATGCATAATATATAGGCCAATTCCGCAACGCCTATGCAAGTTGGAGATTCGCAACTAAACCTTGCAAACGATGTTCAGGAGCAAACAAATGATACAATCTCAGCTCAAAGCCACACTTGTGCAAACCAAGCCGCCCCCATATAGATAGATGTATCTTGAAAACATGCCATACATAAACAAAATCCTTATTGTTGTTATTAAAATACACTGCACAAACAATTTTTTTTTGTAAATGCAGATAAATGAGGAACCATACACAAGCCCCGTAACAAAGAACCATCTTTTTCTTTGGGACTAACCCAAGAGGAAACTTTGAAAGCACATGATAAATAGGAGCCGGTTCTCGAACCAAGGACGTTGTTGTCTCAAAAGTTGCTGACAACATTGAAAAACGACTGGTGTGCAGAAAAGAAAGGGCCAAAGGATGGTTCCAGCAGCTTTACTGTCTGTCAATGTGCCCCCATAATGATATCATTGGTCCACGAAAACAAAAAACAGTTATTCGCTACAGAAGACCAGTCATCAATGCTGTAGAAATTTGAAACCTTAAAGGCAAAACTCCAAAACCACTTGTAAGTTTGGATTGTAATTTAATTACACACTCGTGAAACTGAATTGGAAATATAAACCGAACTATATATATACTAAATAAAATTTATTAAATATATATACTAAATAAAATTTAAATTACGCTGCAGGGTGATAAACATACATGGCCAAGCTGTATCAGCAAAGGACATCCTAGATATATCGTTGCGAGATCGACATCAAACGGCCAGTGTTAATTATTCCATTGGTTGTTACTTTCATGTATAAATTGTCGTTGTCTAGCAAATTTATTAATTATATTGACATGTATTCCTAGTTGTATCCATCTACTACTTCGAACTGTTATAGTGAAACACCGGGGAGAGGCGGACGTAAAAAAAGAAACTATATTTGATACGAAGTTTGCATCGGCCCTTGCAATGAATCATTCAAATTCCAAAGTTTGACAACCAAGGAAAATCATGTTTTTCCAAAATGTTTGGATGATTACGTCTGCGGCAATGACAAAGAGGGATATTCTAGTTGTTACTATTTCCCATTTAACTTTGGGAAGAAGCATTGGATTGGTGTTGTAATGGACTGTGTTGCCAGGAAACTGATAGTTCTAGATTCCAACATATCACATTTTAGCAACGCATGCCTCGTACAAGAACTTGACCATGTGGTAGAGATGTTACCATACCTATTGAAACTGCGTTCTCAATCACCAACCACCAAAGTTGTAGAATCTTTTAAAGCGGAGCATCCAAAAGGAATATGCCAAAACATTCCAATAGGTGATACATCAAGGATGAGTATCCTGCTAATGGGATGCTTTATACGGGGGTGATGCGTGTTGTGGGATAACTGCAGAGGTTATTGCAAAAGAAGCTAGAGCAGCGGCTGTCATGGCATACAAATGTCATGAAATTCTATGAATCGCCTCCTGAGATACACTAAACTTACCGGTTTTTAGTATTGTATGACCGTTTTAACGTTTCCAAGACACTAGACGTTATTCTCTTTGTTGTTGTAATGGATTCTGATGGATTTGGTTGATGTATTTTACCAAATCGAAGAGTAAGGGAAGAGAACGACAACAAAACAACGTCAACATTAAACAACATAATATTTTGAGTATTCTAGAAAGCTGGGTATCTTATACTAGTTTAGAATGGTAATTCGGCAAGAAATATCAAAACTCCTGTTAATTATTAACATACAAAACTATAACGTGAATAGACAAATTTGATCTAAAGTGAGCTAAGTAGCCCTTGATCTGAAGTAAGGAAGTTTCTGGTAAAAATAAAAGGCACCATAAAATAACGAAGTAAAGCAATCCGGTTAATGTAAAATTATACATATCCCAAAATTAGAAAGCTGGTTATCATATACTAGTGTAGAATGCTAATTAGACAAGGAATATCAAATGCGGTCAATTCTAAACATGAAAACTATGATGCGAATAGACTGATTTGATCTGAAGGGAGCTAAGTAGCGCTTGCTTATTTAAGGAAGTTCCAGGTAAAAGTAAAAGCCCCATAAATAACCATGTTAATTTGAAATCTGGTTATTTTAAAGTATAGATATCCGGTTGTGAGTATCCCAAACCGGTTAAATAGTCGCGAAGAAACTACCAATTCGTAATAGGGGCAATTAACATGAACAAAAGCATGCGAACTAATAAACTAATCATTGTCCTACTGACATGGTAATTATTATATACAGTGAAACTTTTATAAATTAATAATGTTGGGACTACACCAAAACTATATTTTTTTATTAATTTATAGAGATTTAATTTATCGATATACTAATTGAGTCAAAAACTCAATTGAGGACTGTAAAATTAT